GTGAACGAGTAAATATGGTGAGGGATTGGGGTGGAGAGAGGGAAGGGTCGCCAAGGGATTCCTCTACGGCTGCTGGTGGAAGGAAGGGAGTAATAAAATTTTTGGAATTGGAACAACGGACGGTTGATCCTACTGGGGCATACTCTTCACTGCAAAAGCCACCTCATGTACACTTATTCTATTCTTTGACTGGGTATAATGCCCCTCTTCCACCTGCGACCTTATCGTAGAATCCTCATTTAAAGTGACATTAAGGTGGGGCTTTGAACGTCTACTTGCGAGGGAACGGCGACAAAGTCAGTCTATTGGAGAAAATAACAATGTGCAAAGGAGCAGCTCAAGGTGTGGAATATCTTCACAAGCAGAGCTGCATACATATGGATCTGGCGGCAAGAAATTGTTTATACTCGCAGGATAAGGTGGTCAGTTTGCAGTTTGTTTCCATAAACATGACTTCATAGGTGACAGCATACACCGTATGCCAAATGTTTGGTTTTCAGGTGAAAATCAGCGATTTTGGACTGTCAAGATTAGGCGTGAACTATACGATTCGCGGTCCCACGAAAATTGCCAATTAAGTGGTTGGCTCCGGAGACAATATCAACGTTCACGTTTTCTCTGAAAACGGACGTATTCACGTACGGTGTGATGGTGTATGAGATCTTCACGAATGGGAACGAACCATGGGATGGATATTCCAATGCTGAAGTTAAGAAAGGAGTAAGTGAATTCTCGCTATTACCCTTCCGCCTTCATAATCTTACCAGAGCGTCAGGGCATGGAGCCAAGGACATGCGTAGCACTGGGTCGATTTCGAAATCAGCACGGCCCTGTCTTAATGCTGTTACCGCAGGGTGGATCACAAAACTCGTCAACGAGCATCACCTCGGCTTCTACAACTAGTGTCCCACTCACGAGCAGGGCCAGCCGTGCGTCGCCCAGATCTCAAAAATTTTACACCCTCTTCCTTCCATAGGGGGTCTCGATACGACCTCCATTCGTCACCATCACCATCACCTCCCGCTCCTCCAGGAGGGAGTCCCGCGATACGACCCTCTCCTTCACAAATCCGAACCACCAATTTCACTATCATGGTTTCTTCTATGTATAGTATTTAATACCTTAATCGACACAGCCCAACTCTGCCCACTTGCTTACTTTCCTTCCAAGTTTGCCTTCGAAAGCCGGGGGGGGGGACAGAAATGCCTTGAGAAACGGAAAATTCTTTTTCTCCTTGCTTCTTTCACAAGGATTTCACCAAAATCGTCGCAAAACCCGTTGCACACGACCGCGCTCTGCTACTGCTACGACCCCTTAAAGGCTAAAGTTCGGGTTCGGGCTCAGACCCACCTAAGAAGCCCTTACCATGGCTAGAAGTGCTGGGTACGCAAGTGCAAAGGTAGCGCCACCTTTCTACATCGAAACGCGTCACTAGGACCCTAGGCGCCATGGACTTCTAACAGACTCCACCAAACTTAACATGGTCCGCCCACCGTTCGATATCTTGTCTGCGTCGCCACGTTGATCTGCTATGCTCTCTCTTCTAACACTTCTCTACCACCTTATGCTCTCACATTATCTCTCATCCCCTCCCCTTTCTT